TTATGCGGATGACACAACCCTGCTTCCTGAAACTGAGGAGGACCTGAAGCGCTTGCTACAGAAGGTCAAGGATTGTAGCCTCCTATATGGATTGAAGCTCAGTGTCAAGAAAACAAAGATTCTTACCACTAGGCCAATTGGCAGCATCAGTATGGATAGTGAAGAGATTGAGATAGTTAACAGTTTTAGTTTACTTGGCTCCACAGTCAACACTCTTGGTAACAGCAGCCAGGAAATCAGGAGACGAATTGCATTGGCAAAGTCAGCTGTGAGGGAACTCTCAAGAGTACTGAAGAGCAACGACGTCAGGCTGGAGAATAAGGTGTGCCTGATCTAGGCTATTGTCTTCGCAATTATGTGCTATGTGGCAGAGAGTTGGAAAGTGAATAGGGATGATAGAAAGATAATTGATGCTTTTTGCGCTGTGGTGCTGGAGAAGAGTGTTGAATATATCATGGACTGCTAGGAGAATAGGTTTGGCCTGGAGAAGGTGAAGCCGAATGGTCCTTGGAGTCAAGGATTCTGAAGCTTTGTCTGACATACTTTGGGCATGTTGCAAGGAGGGACTGGTCCTTGGAGAGGGACATCATGTTTGTGAAAGTGGAGGGGTGGCAGAGGAGAGGAAGACCTTCGATGATAAGGATTGATTCTGTGAGTGGAGTGGTGGGAATGAGTGCGTTTGAGATGGTTAGGTTGGCACAGGATAGAATAGCGTTTAGAGCTCTTGTTCATAGGGTCACTGTGAGTTGCAAGCGACTCAATGACACATAACAACACCACAATAAACCTGTTTGTTCTCCTTGCATTCCAACACTCTTCACCAGTACCGCAGCTCAAAGGCATCATTTCTCCTTCTATCATCGCTAGTCATGGTGTGGATCAGGCTCACCTTAGTTTCCAGACTGACATCGTTGTTCGTAGGTACTCTGGAGATGTCCCTGACAGCAGATTTTCACAATACAATTATTTTTATTTCCTGGCTACTGGCACCAAGAGTGTTGATTGTGGAACCAAGCAAACTAAAGCAGTTAACAGTCTCAATCTCTTGACCATCAATCATGATGCTCCCCATCAGCCCAGTAGTGAGAATCTTTGTTTTCTTGATGTTGAACTTAACTTTAATCTATATTGAAGGCTGCAGTCTTTGACTTTCTGCAGCAAGTGCTCAGGTCCTCCTCAGTTTCAGCAAGCAGGGTTATGTTTTCTGCATCATGCAGATTGTTGATCAGTTTTCCTCCAGTCCTGATGCCAAATTCCTTTTCCTACAGCCCAACTTCCCGGATGATATATTACACATATAGATTAAAATGATATGGATATAGGACACATCCCATTTTTGAAGCATACAGTGTTTCCTTGCTTTGTTCTGAAGACTGCCTCCTAGTCCAAGTACAGGTTTCACATAAGAACAATCAAGTGTCTGGGATTTCCATTCTCCTCAGAGTTAGTTTTGTTGTGTTCCACACAGTCAAATATCTTTGTATAGACAATGAAATACAGATAGACAGTACTCTGGTACTCTCTGCTTTCAGCCAAAATCCATCTAAAATTAGTTATAAAAGCCCTAGTATCACAGTCTCTTCTAAATCCAGCCTGCACTTCTGGTAGCTCACTGCTGATTTGCTGTTCCAGTCGTTTTTGGATAATCTTCAGCAGAATCTTGCTTGCATATGATATTAATGATATTCTTCAATAATTTACACACTCTGTTGGGACACCTTTCTTTGGAATGAGAACAAATATGGATCTCTTCCAGTAAGTTGGCCAGGTGGTTAGCCTTCAGATTTCATGGCACAACTTGAAGAATGCATCCAGGGCAGCATCTCCTTGTTGAAATATGTCAGTTGGTATTCCGTCAATTCCTAGGGCCTTTTTTTTTTTATTTTGACAGTTCTTTCAGAGCATCTTGAACTTCTTCATTCATCACCACAGGCTCTTACTCATACATTGTTTCATGAAACTCTTCTGTGTCAGCCAATTCCTTTTGGTACAATGACTCTGTATACTCCTTCCACCTTTTAATGCTTCCTGGATCATTTCATATTCTGCCCAAAGCTTGCTTAGATTTTGCAACTTGAGTCTGAATTAGTTTTTCAGTTCTTTTCAACTTAAGAAATACTTAGAAAAAAAATACTTAGCCAGTTCAGCCCTTTTGATTTTCTGACTCCAGCTCTTTGCTCATTTTGTTAAAATACTTTTATCTTCTCACTGATAAGAGTTTAATGCATTAAATTAATTGTGTATAGTGTTGTTAGAAAAAAATTGTAAAGGAGGGGAAATAGAGTGGTTACTAGAATCAGATATTATTCCTAAATACTATTGAAGAGTAAAGGAAATATTAGAATTATTGATAATTGTATTGAATTTCTTTTAAGCCAATTAAGTTCTTTGTGCCTCATTTTCTCATTTATAAAGTGGATGTACTAATAGTACAACTATCTCATAGAGTGGTTTTTATGTGTTAGTGAGTCAGTACTGACTCATAGCTGACCCTCATGGGTTTTCAGAGGTTGTAAATCATACAAGAGGGGATTGCTCCTATTTCTCCTTCAGAGCCCTAGTAGAGTCAAACCACATGTCTTTGGGTTGACAGTACAACTCCTTATCTACTAGGTAACCAGAGCTCCTTACTTAATAGAATTAGGAGTTTTTTATGTGTCGTCGAGTTGCTTGTGACTCATAGCGACCCTGTGTACAACAGCCCAAAACTCTGCTCTGTCCTGTGCCAATCTCACGGTCTCCGACACACCCATCCCGATTACCCCAGTCACTGAATCAATCCACCTCATAGAGGGTCTTCCCCTCCTGCGCTGTCCCTCCACCCTACCAAGCATGATGTCCTTCTCCAAGGACCAGTCTCTCCTTACAACATGTCCAAAGTATGTCAAACGAAGCCCCAGAATCCTTGCCTCCAAGGAGCAGTCCGGTTTGACCCGTTCCAGGATGAATCTGTTTGTTTTCCTAGCAGTCCATGGTACATTCAATACTCTTCTTCAGCACCACAGCTCAAAGGCATCAATTCTTCCATCCTCCTTTGTCACTGTCCAACACTCTGATGCATAACAAGTGATAGCAAAGACCATGGCCTGTATCAGATGCACCTTAGTCTCCAAAGAATTATTCTTTGGAGACTAATACCAATAGTTATTCTTACTGTGGTGGAGTCTGAACTGAGTCATGACTGAGTTTGCGTTGTTGTTGATTGCCATCAAGTCAAACTCATAGTGACTCTAAGAAGAAAAGACCTAATGCTTTCGCATAACTAGCATCATTTCTTCAAGTTCATAGAGTTTCCCGGGACATGTACGTGGTTTAGAAAGTTGATGCCACTCCTGCTTCCAAACCTGTTTTAAACCTGGTTGGGAAACCATTACAGTATTTGATACTACAACAGCACAAGGTTCATCATCACAGCAAATTCAGGTTACTTCATACAACACATTTACAAAGAGTGATATATAAAGTGGAGAGTGTTCCTCCAGATATAACAGCACTAGTCTCATTTAGCAGCGGTTAAGTGTTGTTGAGTTGAATATGACTCAGAGTAAGCTTTGCACAAAAGACCTGAACTCTTCTATAACTAACATCATTAGGCTGTTAATTACACAAAAGAGTTTGCCTATCTTATGCTTGCAGAACAACTTGTGGATTTGAACTTCCAGAAAAGTTGAAACACTAGGTTGGTAGCACAACTCATTACAAATTATGCCACCTTCTATTAAACAAGTTATTATATTAGAAGATTGCCTGGTATTTTTGTACTTCTGCTATAGAAGTTAAACTATTACATTATAAAATGTTGATTTCTGTGCTTTCTACATTATTCTGTTAGCTTCATGGTAAAGTCCATGGTTTATTTGCTTGCATGTCTATTACAATGTGCAGAGGCCGAGTGTGTACCTAACAGTTGAATGAAGAATAAAAATGTGATATGTATATTATGCATACTTAATATTTTGTTTATTGGAAGAAAAGAGTATGGGCAGTGTGAGGACAGCCAAACTTTGTTTCTATCAACTCTACAAGGGAATAGTGCTCCCATCAATAATATCCACAGTGCAAAACTGCTAAGACATGTCCCACCATGTTTCTATACTAACTTCTATTAATTCCAGCACTATTTGTACTGCTCTATGACTGGGTCTGAAATCTGTTGCATTATCTCACAGATTAATACTCATGATTATGGGGTTTATTAAAGAAGTTAATTTCCTTTTTCAATTTAGGTTGACAACAGGATATAGTACCTGCCTCAGTCCAGACATCTTCTCAGATTGCTTGTAGACCCTTTCCCCTTTAGACTCATAACTTAGGTCGGTGTTATAAAATTCCCTTAGTCCTACCAATAATGGCATCTTTTCACAGTTCTCTGGCAAGCTTAGGTGAAGGCCCCTGGCTTTATAGCTCAGTATATGCCAGTCTGAAGTTCTCTGGTAAGGCTGCTGCTGCACTTATGTGGATCCTGGTTAGACCGGTGTAGGAATCTCTGGCTCAGAATGACGTATGCTGCACTCTCTACTTCCTCTTCCTTTCTTGTGATGAGATTCCCACCTTTGCTGCTAAATAGATTCAATTTAAGTTGCTTGGATGCAAAAAACTGACCTATTCCGTAATGATTGGCTATATATACCTATTTCAAGTTCGTGAAAGTCAAATCTGATGGCTAGCAAGGCAATTTTAAACAGTAAATTCATAACACCACATTAATAAAATAAACTTTCATTCTAATATAATCTTAATTCCTTTTTGTTTGTTTGATTTATTGACAGTTTCTTTAAAAAAAGTTTTAGGAATGCAAATTTCCCTCTCTGTTTATAGGAAATGAAATTTTAAATAGCTTTTATAAAGTGT